CCAACGTTAAAGTTCTGTGTCCGCCCCTGACTTAAAATATAGTAAATGGCATGAGGAACAATTTCCCATGAAGGATTCAATATCTGCTTATCTCTATAATTTTCGTCCTCAATTGTCCAAAACAATTCCCTGGGATGGGTTTTTGTCATCTTCTTAGCAGCATTAATATTTACACAAAAATATATTTTGTAAAATATATTATATTTCTTATACAATATAGCTTCGAACACGATACAACTCATACATTTCATGATGTGTGTAGAGTATGGATTGGAAGGATTGGTGTCAATAAGATCAGATGTTTATAGCTATGGTATTATGTTAATGGAAATATTTACCAGTATGAACCCAAGCAGCGAAAAGTTTTCTGGGGAATTAAGCCTGAGAAGCTGGATAAATGATTCTATGCCCAATGCTATTACTCAAATTATAGATTCCAACTTGTTGGCTCTAGAAGGAGAATATTACACAGAAAAGTTGAAATGTTTGTCATCTATAATGGAACTAGCTTTAAATTGCTCCATGGAAAGTGCAAATGAGAGGGTGAATATGAAAGAAGTTGTCGTAGCATTGAAGAAGATCAGATAGAGATCTTGGCATATTACCCGAATACAAAAGGGCAGCCTTAATATTCCAAAGTTTTGGTTAAGAGCATAACACAATGTGTTCTCTGTGTATATAATGATTTTGTGATTCTATTAGTTTGCTATGTTCTTTAGTCTAACATATATCGTGTCTGTCACGATAGAAAGCATAAAATAAAAGGTGCATTAAAAATTTCCTAGTTTACAGGTTGAATCCTCAAAACTTTTGTACTTGAACCACTTGTCATTTTCAATCTAGTTCTGAAATTTAATGTACTTTTATAATCAAGAACTCAATTAAGTTGAAAAGGGCCAATTTTTACAAGGTTTGTTCACGATGGCTTTCAAGTCCTAACTATTGCGCATTTTCCTTGACAATTTTCCATCATATTTTCAGCCTTAAATCACCATTTTCGTAAAAAAGTGGTTACTTCAAGTTTTGAATAGATTCCACAAGAATGACCCAAGAATCAGTTTCTAACACCATCAATAACACAACCATATCACAAATAATTGAGTTGTACTATGTGCTACATGTTCACATCGATGGAAGTACTTTGCTAGTAGATCTAGGCATCTTCACATCAACTTCGATCCTTTTGTAGTTCTTTTATACTTAATCCTTCTTGATGTATTGAATGCTTTTTAGACGTTTCTATTATAATTTCCATCATTTCGATGTCTTTTTTGCTGAATTGCTGATTAAAAATGGAATGGAGATACAAGCTTTGTAGGTTTTTGAGACCAGTCGCTCTCCCTACATTTCTCTCTAGCAAGATGTATGAATCACTACCCTTCCCTACCCTTTTATAATTCATATTCTAGCTGAAATAGCATTCCAAAAGACTCACAAATTAAATTACTCTGCTGAATAATTTAAATAACATAATAAACGTTACAATCCTCAACACTCTGACCCATAGACTTTCTATGCATCTAACGTAAATAATATTGGAGCCTATCAACACTGTGCTCCCAAAATTCACCTTGTCATCAAGGTGACAGTTCAGGAACTATACGGCTCCTTGACCTTTGAAACATTTTCACTACGTGAATGTTGAAGTTCAAAAGACACATTCATTTATGCATTAAAATTTGAGAAGTCTATAAAAGAGAGATTAAAAATTCATTAAATTTGAAAATGTTGGTGGATTGTTAGAACATTTTCAAAATTAGTGTTATATTGGTTTGATCCATCTTCAATAAGAAGACGTTGAAATCATCAACTCATTAAAAACCAGCCATACGAGTGAGAATATGTCCATCCCGCATGCTGGACAGAAGGCCAGCACATGCAAGTGCACGCTCATGCACACCTGCTAAGGGGTTAGAACAACAGTGCATATGTGCACTAATGCACGCACAGAGATGAAATTGAATAGGTGTCTCGTGTACTAGATGGCTCTTGACCGGTTTTTGACTATTTGGGTGGTTCTATGATTCCAAATAGTCTGAAATGTTCGTGCATGTCTCGTGAGCTAATGCACGCACACGCGTGAACTTGAATAGGTTTGAAAATCTTTCCACGTCCAGTGACCTAGCCATTGTACATTCTACCATCTTCCAACAAGTGCGATGCATAATTGAAAACTTTCAAAGCCAACCATTCTTCTTCAGCCTTATTTGAAGAAAACAAACAATAGCGTTAATGTACAATCCTATTGATTGATCAAATTGCTTGACGTAAGTTAAGAATATTGATTCTTAATCCATGTGGTGATTGCAATCGAGTACAATAGTGAAGTAACAATAAAGTCAAGATCGGGGGTTTTGATTCCACTTTTACACCAAGTGAAAAGTACAATAAAACAAGGGAGTTGTTCTGAGATTTCTTTTTATTGTTTTTTTTTTATTTTTTTTATGAAATTACAAAACTGGGACTATTTTATTTCTAATTGTTTGATTTAGTGAATTGCTTGACCCATGGCATGAGAGCCATGGATGTTTTTCCTTAGGGTTTTGATTCCACTCTTACACCAAGTGAAAAGTACAATAAAACAAGGAAGTTGTTCTAAGATTTCTTTTTATTGTTTTTTTTTATGAAATTACAAAACTGGGACTATTTATTTCTAGTTGTTTGATTTAGTGAATTGTTTGACCCATGGCATGAGAGCCATGGATGTTTTCCTTTAGGAATAAAATAGCCGCTTCTAATCAAAATGGAAAACAACAAAAAATTTGATGAAGCCAGTGTTGCAAAGTGATGGAGAACTTCTAATTCTTTTTATGACGACTCTAAACCTTGTGAGAATTGGATTCTTGATTCAACCTGCATGTTTCATATGTGTCTCAATTACGTTTGATTTTCAACATATAAACAGCTTCTAAAGGTGTCATTATAATTGGAAAATAACGTACCTTGTTAGATATCTCATATTGGAACGATCGGAATCAAAGTGTTTGATGGGGCATCAGGATACTTTGTAGTGTGAGACGTGTTTTAGATTTGAAAAGAAATCTTATCTCTTTATGTAATCTTAATTGAAAAGGGTACAAGTACACTGGTAAAGATGGAGTCTTGAAAATTAGAAAAGGTGTCCTTAACATGATGAAAGAACAAAGAATGTGTGCTTAGTTATATGTCATGTAGGGTTCTATAGTTGCAGGTGATGCAATTGTCGCTACTCTTTCCTTGTAATATGATGTTACTAGACTTAAGCATATGTTTATAATCTCCTTGTTACAAAAAACTCTTCCTTC